TTAGCGATTTTTCGGTACTGGACCCTTAGCGGGGGGGGGAAAGAAATTTTTTTCTGTGTTTCTCTACGGCCCTATAGCAAAATATAAACGTTTTCTATAGCGTTTTACATAGTTTTAAGCATAAAACTATGCAAGAAATGATAAAAATTTTCGAAAATTGTGACTTTTTGGTGAAGAATGTATTAAAAATGCTCAAAAACGTCAAAATTTTCGAATTTTTCAACATTTTTCAGCATTTTTAATGACTTTCGGGTAAGCAAAAACCACTGAAAAATGCGTTAAAAATATAAAATATAGCATCAGCAGATAGATATTGGTGTAAAACAAGACAGAGTTTTCTCCCCTGCCAAAAATCCCCCCCCTCCCCGCTAGCAGTCCAGAACCGATTTTTCCTCTCAATTTCCCTTCCCTTTCCAGGTATCCGCTATGTGAGCCGTCTTCCCCCTCATCTCCACTTCGAGAGAGCTACTGTAGCTGATCTGCCGGTCCTCTGTGATGTCTTTCTCAATCAATTCGTTCGCGTCGAACCACATGCCAAGGTATTCAACGCTTTTAAGGGGTTGGGAAGACGGAAGTAGGCCCGCCCCTTTCTTACTGTATTGCAACCTGAAAACTGTCACCCAGTAGACATTCCCAAATAAACTCTGCTGGTTTGCCCTCGAGAGAATTCGATATTAGACCCACTTGACTCTATTTTTCTAGCCAGTTAGCCTTTTAAAGGGACCGGGAAGACTGAGTTAGGCCACGCTCCATTCATTTTTTTCTGTCTTGAATCGACTATCTGGCATCAGTTCGACATTCCCAAGTGCTCTTTGCTAGTTTGCCTAGACGAAATTCCCTGGAAGTGCTACAGAAGACCAAATAAACTATTTTTCCGGCCAGTTGGGCTTTTAAAGTTACCGGGGAGGCAGATTTAAGCCACGCCCACTTTTTACTGCCCGCCATTTAACAAACTGACATGCATTCGACATTCCCAAATGGTCTCTGCCAGGCTCTGCGTATGGGCAAAGAAGCAGTGCCCCTGTTCGAGGCTATTGCCGCGGCTTGTGTTCGTCAACCATTCGCCCTCAAATTGATCGACAATCAACAGGTATATCGCAGTCTATAGTTTAAAGGCATCGTGACAGCTAGCTAATCTCGAAGCCACGCCCCTTTTTGCAGGATAATCGTGTTGTTGGGTTCCGTCTGCTGGGTATTGGCCATCGTGATCCATCGCTCGATCCGTATCCCATTCAGCCACAAATCACCGCCCCCAACGTCCTCACCTTCAGTATGTATCGTCGAGTCGTCTACGTTTTTTTTTCAACTTTTTTTTGGCCCAAAATGACCAAATTTTCGACTTTTTGAAACATTTTTCTAGCTTTTTCTGAAAGTTTTTCTGCTTTAAATCAAGGGTAAGAGTGCAGTTTGCCCCCCCCAGCCCAGCTCCTCAGCCATGCGTCCTATTAATGCCCCGAGTATCTCAAAATGTTCGCCGTGGTCGAAAACCTCTAAAAAAGTTGTTTGCTTGCGCCAAAAATTGTTAAAAATTTTTTATGACAATTATAAGTCTGGGTTTACTTCAGCTAATTTTTGCTGTTCCAAAGTGAGTTGTCGTATCTCGGCTATCTTTAGTCGTACAGAACTGTCAATAGTATCAAAATGTAGCTCTTGCTCTGTAGAATAAGCCTACAGTACGTTTGAGTCGAAAAAAATAGCGGAAAATAAAAATATTTGAGTTTTAGGCTCCTTGTACATCGAAGCATAGCGGCTTAATCTTTTCAACTTTCAAAATCTTGTAAAAAATTTTCAAACAATTTTTGCCGTATGGAAACAACTTGTTTAGAGGTTTTCGACCACGGCGAACATTTTGAGATACTCGGCGCATTAATAGGACGTATGGCTGAGGAGCTGCGCTGGTGGGGGGGTAAACTGCACTTAAGCCAAACACTTGGTTTGATTACTAGGCCAGCCGGGACCGCCAGGAAAAAAAAAATTGGTTCCCCGCGAGTCCTAAAGAACGTTTTTCATCCATCAAAGGTAGAACGAGGCTGGCAATGGGGGTACTGTAGCTACGGTAACCCGGTCCTCTCTCTCTCTCTCTCTCTCTCTCTCTCTCTCTATTTGTGCCTTCCAGTCGAGCTGATGGAACACACGAAGAAGCTGTGGCTCGACGCCCTCCCCGATGTCAACAAGGTGCTACGGTATGTGGGGGGGGGGACTACGAACTACATCTCCGGACCCACGATATCCAGCCCATTCTTTTCTTCATTTTTCTGTCTTTTTCAGCCGCGAGATCTCGTTCATTTCGCCGGGATATCAGCGTCTCGGTCTCGGTGCCCACATGCTTCATCATCAACTCGACTTCGACAAGCTCAAGGTCCGCTTTTTCGGGATTTTTATGCAAACTAAGCTTAAATTTGGGAGGCTAGGGATTTTTTTTGCGGTTAATCGTTCTAATTCCTTTAATTGGCAGCCAGAAAAGCGAAAATTTAGGCAAAATGGGAATTTTGGAAACAGTAAGACTCAACAAAAATCTTTGCAAAAATTCGATTTTTTGCATTTTTCGAAATCTTCCTAATTGGTTCTTGTTTTTCGGTTTAACAGACTTGCCAGGTCCTTGAATTGCCCGCCAGAAAAACGTAAGCCTTATTCAAATCGCCAATTTAGACTACAGTAACACGATAAAAACCAATTTCAAAATCCAAAAAACCAATTTTTGGAAATTTTTGGATATTTTTTAAGGCTCAGACTTTGCAATCCCTTTAACTGGCTGGCAGAAAGCCCAAAAATACTCCAAATTCCATCCAGTTCCGCGTAATTCCCCGTTTACAGGCAGATGGAGTGCAGGGTATCGTCTCGGAGGCGACATCAAAGGCCAATCAGCATCTTCTCTCTTCAAGGGGATACAAGAAAGTGGCACAACTACCCGATAGGTATACTGTAGCCACAGGGAACGGGGAAGGAAGGGGTACTGTACACAGGCCCGTACGAGGGGGGCAGGGGGCAGCCTGCCCCCCGAAATCCTCGGGGGGCCGAAAAGTACATAAGGTAGTACCCTTATGTTTTTTTTTCATCATTTTTGCTGCCCCCATGGAGGGGGCAGGTAATCTAGAAGTTTGAATTTTCCCGCATTTTTTTGGCACTAATGTTAGGGTGGCAGATGGGGTTGGGTGTTGTTAGGAGATTATTTTGGCACCATTAATGGGCTAATATTTGGAGGAAAGGCCCAAAATAGGCAATAATGATACGGCGGTAACTCCATGGAGAAGTAACGGATCGGGATGATTGATATAGCGATAGAAAGCCCAGAGTAGGGAGAATACAGGGCGATGTAAAGCAGAAAACCGGTATTGCTAAAGCACTTTATTCCGGTTACTAACGGTATCTTAGCGCGGCAGAGCGCTTGCCTGTTCACGGCACCCTCGACAACAATAAATAGTGAGGAGAAATAAACCTCCCCCAAAACCGACGGAGCCCGGAAAGCGCATAAGGCCCTTTAGCTTTTTTCGCAAAAAAATTTGTGCCTGCGGCGCCTTTTTATGGCTTTTAAACGCTATTTATTTTTATAATATAAACACAGTTTTTTTCAAAAAATGTTCTGCCTGCGGCGCCTTTCTCCTCGCTCTCTAAGACTTTTTTTCTGGCCTATAGGCACCGTTTTTCAAAAATTTCAGCCTGCGGCGCTGTTTTTTCAGTAACTTTATCGGCGCTAGGTTTGCTGCCTGGGGCGCTCTCAGGCCGCCCCAGGCGAGCCGCCCCCCCCCCCGCCCCGCAATCGCCCAAAAAGTTCATAAGGGGGGACCCTTATGATCTTTTTCCGGAAAATTTTTCTGCCTGCGGCGCTTTTTATAGCTGTTCGCAAGTCGGTTTTTAGTGTTAGAAACACAATTTTTCAAAAATTTTTGCCTGCGGCGCTCATTTTTTCATTCATTGAATCGCAATTTCGGTTGAAAAGTGCATTTTTCCCGCGATTTGGCTCAATCCCAGGGTTTTTGTTAACCAATTTTGCAACAATTTCGCCTGCGGCGCTGTTTTTAGAGTTTTTACACCTTTTTCCGCCATTTTACAAAAGCGTCGACCGGGGGGAGGTCGTCAAAAATTTTTTCGGTCCTGCCCCCCCCGAAATTTCGGGCCAGGTACGGCCCTGACTGTACACTACAATCCACAACAAATGACGACATGACACTGGCAATAGTACGCTACTGTACGCCAGAGTACGCTAGGGTACAGTAGGGTGTAGTTTGTAGTCTCAGGTTGTAGACTGGCAGGCAGTTGAGTGATTAAAGGGACAGGACCACTACTCTCCGGCCTATAGCTAACGACAATAGTACGTTTCTGTACGCTAGGGTACGGTAGTGTACAGTAGGGGGTAGTTTGTAGGCTCTAATCATAGACTGGCAGCCAGTTAATAGGTTAGTGGGGCGAAAGGGGCAGTGACAACTTTCTCCAGGCCACAGCTAATGACAATCTGCCGCCATTAGTACGCGACTGTACACTAGAGTACGCTATATTACAGTAGGGCATAGCTTGTAGTCTCTAGCTGTAAACTGGCGGCCAGCTAGTCTATTCAAAAGTTTAAATCCCCCCTTTTGCAGCGTCTACAAGCAGCTGTTCATCCATTTGCACGACGGAACGCGGAATATCGAGGCGTTCTTCTATGATTTGCGATGAGGGGAGAGACACGGGCGAGAGAGCCGAGGAAAAGAGAGACAATCAAGCGAGAGAGAGAGAGAAGAGAATGATCTGATCGCCATGCCATTGTTTTATGGGATAAATTGTGTTTTTGGGAGGGTACTGTACTTTCTGAATCACAATTTTCGAAAAGGTTGATAATTTTTTCTGGGGTTTTTATATCTAAAAATGGACAAAAGTGCCATAAAAATTTTTTATATTTTTATAGGGCCGTTAGAGACAGAAAAAAAATTCGCTCCCCCCGCTAACAGTCCAGTACCTTGAATCGGCTAAAAATTCGGCTACAAAGCCGGCTACCGTATCCCTCAACGATTTTTGTAGTGGCGATGCTGGAGGAGACGAAGCGGCTGACATTGGAGGCATTGCCCGACATTCACAAAATGCTACGGTACGCGCGCCTACAAATGACGCGCCACAACCATCGGAGCTAGCCGGAATTCCGGACCCGATGATAGCCGATCCGGCTCAAATTTTTTGCACATATTAACTGTCAGCCAGCTAAAGCGCCACCGTAATTTTGACCGGATCCGGTCACCGGTTTTCGATTTATGCGGCAAGTTGCGTTTACGGGGTATTTTTTCGTGATTTCAAAGCACGTGAAACTACAAAATACACCTCTGGGCATACGGTAGCAGAGCGATTGTTTTCTCTGTTTTCAGCCGTGAGATCTCGTTCATCACCTCCGAGTATCAGCATCGTGGCATTGGGGCCCTCATGCTCCATCACAAACTCGACTTCAAGCAGCTCAAGGTCCGGGTTTCCACTGGTCTTATCCAAATTGAATGCTTTTCGCGTAGCATGATTCTAATTCCTCTAACTGTCAACCAGAAAAGCACAGACTGTATTCAAATCGGCAAAATGGCGTACAGGGTGTTCCAAAAAAAAAGGTCCAAGTTTGTCCCCGAATAACTCAAGAAGGAAACATATTTCACCGTGCGTTACCATGCCAGAATGCTTAAATATGTCAGGAATAGGGAAATAACTCAACTTGATTTTTTCGATTTTTGGCGACGTACCCATACAAATGACACCCGAAAACTGTGCGTTCCGGCAAAACTTCGTTTGCACTTTTTTGGATTGCTGGTGGTCGAAAACTTCCAATTTTTACAGTGTAGGTACCTAAGGACTGCCCCTACGCACATCCGGAATTTTAGAATTTTCGAAGGTCTGGTTGGCAAGTTATAGCGTGCTCAAATTTAATATGGAGAAATTTCGTAAATTTCGAATATTACAAAAACCTATGGTGGAAACCTCAAAATAAGCTGTATTAGCATGTCTCTGAGCTTGATACAATCCCGCAAAAATATCAAAAAAAAAATTTCAAATCCGCGGATTTTTGAGTTTTTCGACGACCCCCTGGTCATGGATTCTTTCGAGGTCACGAAACTGAACTTTGGAAAAATATTTCTAAAATTGCAGATAGAATTTCAGTGTTTGCTTTGCTTGGCTGTGTAGGGCTAGGGTCCATCTATCATGTACACAATTCCTAGCTACCGTACCCATTTGGAAGGCTGCTTTTTAGCGCCTCCAAAGCGGTTGGTTCTTGCTATTTCGCAGACCTTCGTGCCAGTCTATAAAATTCAATTGAGCGGCTAGAATTATTGTCATAATTTTATTTAATACTACTTAATGGGCGCCTTCAAAAATTATATTTACAAATTTCTTGGGCCATGCAATCTCTGAAAAGAAATTCATTAAGAGCCCGAATATACCCGACTTTGAGGCAACGTAAAAAAAATTCTCGAGGCTTGAGTAGCCCCGACTTTTCTGGCCTAGACCAAGCTTGGGTAGTCAACTAAAACGCATGGAAATACCAACCCTTTTCATGGCAAACGAATTTAGAAGAGCGCCCCAAAGTCGACTTTTCAAAAATGTTATTTTCGGGTTTGAAACCAATCAACCATTAACTTCAGCCAGATCATTCCAGAATTCTGCTCTCATACACAGTTCGATGCGTGCTTTAATTGTATCCACCAAACCCCGGTGCCTTTTCCATTTTCAAAAATTCGATTTTCTAGCCAGGGCTCGGGTCCAACATTGGGGGCCCGAGGGGGGGTTTTCCACTTTCCCTGATAACTTTGTCATTTACCACAGGAATCAAGTAATTTTTTGTAGGTGCTCTTACAATGACCCAGAGAACAGTCTAGAATCGAAAAACCGTCAATTTATGGAATTTTGTCTTGGAATGCTAAAACGCGCTCCAGGCGGGTTACTGTAGAAAACAGAAAATCGCCGTTTTCTCGTTCTTTTCACCATAGAAACGTTTCGATCTTTCAGGAAAACAAATAATAGTAGTTTTCCGTCCGATTCATTAAAATATTTAGAAATTGCCGTGGCTAAATTCAAAAATCAGCTTTTTGTATATTTTTCGAAAGTGTGTGGCTAGAACTTTGCTATATTTTGCCCATGGCTGCCCCTTACCATTGTTTACCGATGGTAAAATTTTGAGCGAAATCGCAGCTTACAATAAAAAGAAAAACGCGAAAAACAAAAGCTACAGTATCCCTCTGGGGCACGTTTTAGCAAGCAATATTAAAATACCATAGAATCAGGTAAAAATTGATGTTGTGCCAAAGATTATCATCCGGAGACACTATTTACAAAAGAACAGCCACATGCAGCCAATTTGAAGGGAGTTGCGAATTAAAATGTAAAAAAATGCCGAATAGTGAAATTTGTTTTGTTTGTAAAAAAAGAATTAGAGCTTGAAAAATTCTAAGACTTGGCCATTACCTTTCTACAAATGTCAACTATTTTTCGGCCAAAAATCAGAATTTTCCCACCACCCATTCAAGAACGCACAATTTTCGGTCGTAACCAGCGTCAATAGTACAGTTGCGTACTCAAAAATCGAAAAAATCAAGTTGAGTTATTTCCCTATTCCTGACATATTTAAGCATTCTGGCATGGTAACCCACGGTGAAATATGTTTCCTTCTCGAGTTATTCGGGGACAAACTTGGACCTTTTTTTTTTGGAACACCCTGTACAGTAACACTCAAAAAATACTTTTGCAAAAAATCCGATTTTTCATTTTTCTAAAACTAGGAAATTTCCCCGGGTTTTTATGGGTCAACAGACTTGCCAAATCCTTGAATTGCCCGCCAGAAAAATGTAATCCTTAGCCAGATCGTCAATTTAGACTACAGTAAGACGATAACAAAACCAAGTTAAAAATCCAAAAATCCAATTTTTGGAGATTTTCGGTTTTTGGAATCCTCAGACTTTGCAATCGGTTTAACTGTCTGGCAGAAAGCCCAAAAATACTCCAAATTCCATCCAGTTCCGCGTAATTCCCCGTTTACAGGCAGATGGAGTGCAGGGTATCGTCTCGGAGGCGACATCAAAGGCCAATCAGCATCTTCTCTCTTCAAGGGGATACAAGAAAGTGGCACAACTACCCGATAGGTATACTGTAGCCACAGGGAACGGGGAAGGCATACTGTACGCTACAATCCACAACAAATGACGACGTGACACTGGCAATAGTACGCTACTGTACGCCAGAGTACGGTAGGGTGTGGCTTGTAGTCTATAGCTGTAAACTGGCAGCCAGTTGTGCGATTTCAGGGATTAAAGGGGCAGGGACAGTAGCGACAATAGTACGTTACTGTACGCTTGAGAATACGAAAGTGTACGATAGGGTACGGTAACGTACAGTAGGGGGTAGTTTGTAGTCTCTAATTACAGACTGGCAGCCAGTTAATAGGTTAGTGGGGCTAAAGGGACAGTGACAACTTTCTCCAGGCCACAGCTAATGACAATCTGCCTCCATTAGTACGCGACTGTACACTAGAGTACGCTATATTACAGTAGGGCATAGCTTGTAGTCTCTAGCTGTAAACTGGCGGCCAGCTAGTCTATTCAAAAGTTTAAATCCCCCCTTTTGCAGCGTCTACAAGCAGCTGTTCATCCATTTGCACGACGGAACGCGGAATATCGAGGCGTTCTTCTATGATTTGCGATGAGGGGAGAGACACGGGCGAGAGAGCCGAGGAAAAGAGAGACAATCAAGAGAGAGAGAGAGAGAAGAGAATGATCTGATCGCCATGCCATTGTTTTATGGGATAAATTGTGTTTTTGGGAGGGTACTGTACTTTCTGAATGTTGCCTGGATGCCAGTGTAGCGGATCGTAAAGATTACATCCTTCAAATTTTGTATTTGTACACCAAGAATTTTCCATAATCTTTTCTGGTTGCCAGTTGAGCGAACCGGAAGTAAAAATCGAAACCGGAACCTGTGAATTTTTTATTTTTACTTTTTTAACGAAATCAGTAGGTGGCTGTAGGTTAGTTGATGCTAAAATGTGTTCTTTTCGGGTACGGTACTTTACTGAACCCGAAAAGCTTTAGTATGACCTTTCCTGGCTGCCAGTTGAGCTGACCGGAAGTAAAAATCGGGGTCTCAATCCATAATTTTTACATCTTCAATGTTTCGCCCTTGAGAATCCCCCTTTGTACGTCAGTTGACGCTAAAACGTAGCCAGATCGGGGCAGAACCCCTTGGAAAAGGCAAAAACCCCGGATAATCCCCCCGATCACCGGTAACAATAGCCGGGCGGTTGACAGTTACCTGGGAAAGAGGGGATATTTGTTGCCTGGGGCTACAAATACCTCTCGAGGACCTTCGATCCCCTCTATTGTCTGCCAGCTGAGTGATTCCCCCCCTCGGCAACCCCCTACCGTATCCCTATCCCTTTACTGGCCGTCAGTCGGCAAACAGCACCCCTTACAATTCGGCACCGCCAAAAAGAACAGTGTGAAAAAGTTGTTGTTGAAAAAAAATTGCAAATCCTGCGAATTTTCGTTTGCTACCGTATCCTGATTCGATTATGCCATGAAATTCCAGCTAGCTATTTTCCTTGCAAGTTCCTTTAACATGCCTATTTCACGAAAGATTTTGCTAGGCAGCTAGCATTTTTACCACCCCAATACTACGCTCCCCCCCCCCGATATTAGGACAGAGCCGGTTAGTACCATTTTTAAGCAATGGTCTCATTTCCGTTCTCTCTCTCTCGCTCTCTCACTCTCTCTCTCACTCTCTCTCCTCTCCCTCTTTCTCCAGTTGACCCATTCTCCGCCCCATTTCCCTTTATGGCCCTCCTTCTCCCCTCCAAAATCTCAGTCTCTTTCTCTCTTTCTGAGTGTCAGCTTCTCCTCCTTTCCCTTGTATAAATTAGAGCCCCCCATAAATGGTTGACAATAATGGGCGCTGGGTGGATGGGCCCATTTGAATATTTGACCCCCCCGGAAAAGAGATTCGAGAAACGAGAAGCTAATTTTAGAGGCGCTAGCAAAGCAACTAGCTAGCCCGAATTATATGTCGTAATTGAATATTCTTGTAAAGATAATGAGGCGATTTTAGAGAGACAGGAGAGAGAGCGAGAGAGCGAGAGAGCGAGAGAGCGAGGGATATTTAGTTGTCTATTAATACCCCCGTCTTTCTTCCTCCTTATCTAAATGACAATGTCTTTTGTATTCCCGTGGAGTCACTGAAGGGTAATTAGTAGTCGAATGGAACGGCTGGCTGCCAGTCAACATAATATCGGGTCATTAAAGGTCTTGGCAAGTTACAAAAACTGTAGAAACCTCATTTTTTCGTTTTCTTTAGCTTGGCCGGCTATCAGTTTGTCAGTTTGTGTGTATATCTGTCGACTGATCAATCTGATTTTGGGCTTAAAGACCGTCAGAACGATGGAATTCCGTTGAGAACAAGAAAGTTGCGCAGCGGGCGGGAGTCAAATCCGCGATGGTTCGCTCTACAGTCCGACGCGCTAGCCACTATACCACAGGACCAAGTGGGGAAGGGAGTCAGAGACGCCCCAAACCCCAGAGGGCCTTTGCCCCGTACGGGGCACCACTAATGACGCATCTCTCCGCGCGTTCTTGGGGGCAGCACCCTCGGGGTGACAGTGTGCGTTCCATCGTTCTGGTAGTCTTTAATCCCCCATACTGTCTGTCGGTTCGTGGAAGAAGCATGTTTCTGGCCCCAAAAATCCCAATTAAAGGCCCCGGCAAGGCAAAAAATGTCTAAATTGTAGCTGGCAGGCACTTCACAGTAACCAAAGTTTTTGCCAAATCTGCCTTCAATGGTCCTCTAAAAACGATCCAATCTCTAAACTGACCGTCATTGAGCCCAGAAATGTCTCGAAAACTGAGAATTCTATTCTATTATTCTATTCTAAAGGCCCCAGCAAGGCAAAAATACACCCAACTTTTCAACTGACAGACAGTCTACAGTAATCCAATTTTTCGATGAATCTGCCTTCAATGCGGCTTTTTTAAAAAATCGCAACATCTAAACTGACCTCTGTCAGCCCTAAAAACGGCGCCAAACCTCCTCAAGGACCACTGCTAGCCTGCCCCTTACCGTAATCTGGCTCTTCCACCGGACGCCCACAACCCAAAATAATCCCCCTAGATAATCCAGTGATCCGTGATGTTTTGGTTTGGTTCAGTTGACTGACTGCCCCTCCCTTCCCTCTTCATGCTAATTCTTGCCCTCATAATCCACTTATCCCCCCTTATAATCCACTAGTCCCTAGGCCTGTACTCTTACGCAATCATCAGCTGCCTTCTCTCTCTCGGTCTCTCTCTCTCTCTCTCTCTCTCTCTCTCTCTCCGCCCTCCAACCTCTCAATTAGCTACAATCTCCCCCACTAATTGGCTGATTAGGTGGAAGAATCGAGGGTTGGAAGGGGTGATTAGCAGAGGTTTTTGGGGATTACATCGACATTGCTAGGGTCAATGGGGGTCAGTTTCGAATCGTTTTTATAGAACCATTAAAGGCAGATTCGTCAAAAAAATTTGGAGTACTGTAAACTGCCAGCCAGCTCAAAAGTCGTGGATATTTTTGCCTTGCTGGGGCCTTTAAAATGGGAAATCCTCAAACCAAAGATATTTCTGGGGTCAATGGAGATCAGTTTAGAGACTGGATCGTTGTTAAAGGACCAAGGAAAACAGACTGACCAAAAAATAGGATTACTGTAAACTGCCAGCCAGCTAAAAAGTTGCGCATATTTTTGCCTTGCCAGCCCCCTTTAATTGGGCTTTTTGAGGCCGGAAACTTGCTTATTCCACCAACTGACAGACAGCTAGGGGAATAATTCAAACATCATGTTGATCATCCGATAGACAGACACACAAATCGACAAACTGACATCCAGCCGAGGTAAAGAAAACGAAAAATGAAGTTTCTCTAGTTTTCGTGACTTGCCAACCCTAAAAATGACCCGATATTATGTCCACTGGCAGCCAGCCGTTCCATTCGACTACTAATTACCCTCGAATGACTGCACGGGAATACAAAAGACAATGTCATTTAGATATGGAGGAAGAAAGAGGCGGATATAAATAGGCAAGGTTTTGGGCTATAGAAAATTACTAAATATCGCCCTCTCTCACTCTCTCTCGCTCTCTCTCTCACTCTCTCTCTCTCTCTCTCTCTCTCTCTCCTCTAATTGTCGAGACTCCGCCCCTTTTTCTGCCGGTCCCCATCTCAGATATCCCTCCCCCTATCCAAAATGCCTCCTCCCCCCAGCTGTCACCCTCATTTTCGGGATCTCCCCTCTGGCTAATTCCCCTTCACGCCAATCGACACCCCTGTACCGTACGGCTCGGATTATCGCTTCCCAAAAAAATTGGTGTCTTTAAAACGGGTGTCTTTAAAAAATTGCTCTGGCTACCGTAACCTACGATATATAATTTGTTAGATTGGCTGGATGCCAGCTCGCCTTCCCAGTACCTTTAAAAGGTAAACTGGTTACCGTAATCTTTGATGTCTAGGTTTTTAGCTTCACTGGATGCCAGCTTGGGTTCCTGATCCCTTGAAAACCCGCAAAATTATGGTTTTGGCCAGCTACCGTAATCTCCAAAATTGACTCCTCTAGAATTTTTCGCTGCACACCGTAACTCCGGATTTTCCGGTTATAGCCAGACTGGAAGTCAGTTAGCCTTCCAAGCTCTTTTAAAATGCACTTCCTGGCTACCGTAATCCTGCTCGAGGTTCCTTCCAAACGCCTAAAAATTGGATTTTTCGGATGGCTATTTCTTGGTTTTGAAGAAATCAAACATCAGTGATTTATTCCCATTACCGCAATTTGCAGCTTTTAAAATGCGTCCATTCTATCTTTAAAATTTGAACCACTAAATTTCATTTCAATAAATTCCCCTAATTTTTCAAAAAAAAAGGATTTTTTCAGGCCTTGTTGCAAAATTTTTCAGGCAAAAGGATTTCCGTTTTATACGATTTTTGTGACAATTTTGAAATGTGACGCTGAAATTTGCCGCATTTTTCATTTGCGGTTTATCCAATCCCTTTTCATATTTAAAAAAAAACGAATTGATTGCATGAAATTACGGTGGTTTTCTGAAAAACTCATTTTTCCGATTTTCCAGTTACCGTAATACCGCATTTCATACATTTTTCAGATCTTAAAAAAATGTCGTACACGAGCACGACATCGTCATGCTCCACCCCTCTCTCCTCCCCAGCATTCCCTCTACCGTCATTTGGAAGGAACGGAGGACTACAGTATCCCCATAATCTACCCTCCATTTTCTCCTCTTCTTTCCATGATTCCGCCTCGAATTCCGAGGGTGGAAGGCCCGAGAAAAAGGTAAAACTGAATGATAATTGAACGCAGCAAAATCTGAGCTTTTTCAGCAAAATCGGCAATTTTGCATTATCGGGGGGGGGGGTGGGGGATTATTTGTAGAACTCCAAAAATGCCTAGTAAATTACTTGTAAGGCCTCAATAGCTCTCTTTTAGTAAGGATCCAACCTTTTCACCAAGATCGGTACTTTTGTATTATCGGGGGGGGGGGGGTGGGAGGGGGAGATCGCCAACTTGCATAAAACTAGAGATTTAAATTCATTTAAAAAATTTGTATCGTTTTTACGCTTGTAATAGTAAAAAACACTCCCTATTGCTATTTGTACCCCCCCCCCCCCCCCGGTAATGCACAAGCACCGGAAGGCCGAAAACTGCCCTTTAAATCTGAATTTTCGAAAATTATGCGATTTTTCAGCCAAAACGCGAGAAGCGAAAGTATCGATGCCGGGTGAGGAGTCCGGAAACGATCGAGAGATCCAGGAGGAAGCGAAGGGATAAGGTACGAGAGAGACATTCATAAAACAGATAAAAACGCTTCTTCCAGAAAATTTAAAAAATGTTTAAAATTTTAGATTTTAAGGCGAGACACTATATCATTTGAACTTTCTGACAAAAATTTGTAAAATTTTCAGATCAGTAATCGTAAAAAAAATAGTGGGAAACACTCGCTTTCTTCATATTAGAAAAATTGGATCCAAAGAAAAACGTTGATCCCCCCCCCGAAAATGCACCTGTACCGATTTTGGTGAAAAACCCGAATTTCTGCGTTTTTAATACATTTAAAATGATACTGTAGCTACCGTCCCCTCTCCCCCCCCCGGATATTGCACAAGTACGATTTTGGCGAAAAACACCAATTTTTTAGCTTTTTAAAAGTAAAAAAAGGTGCTGTAACTACCGCCCCCGGATATTGCACAAGTACCGATTTTGGTGAAAAAACACCAATTTTTCAGCTTTTTGAAAGTAAAAAAAGATGCTGTAACTACCGCGCCCCCCGGATATTGCACAAGTACCGATTTTGGTGGAAAAAATCCGGATATTTTAGCTTTTTAAAAATTAAGAAGACGCCGTAATTTATACAATTAATTGAATAGATTTTATTCTAATTTTTGTAGGCAAATGCGCGAGAGCGTCGTCGAATGAATAGTCTGAATGATGCCCTCGAGAATCTTCGGACATTTCTCCCGGCAATGCCCGAGGAACCGAAAATGACCAAGATCGAGACGCTGCGGTAGGCTAATTTCTACAAGAAAAAAATCGACATTATCGAAAAAACCATCCAAAATTTAAAAAGGATTTTTTTAGGAAGTATCTGTTTTGTTTTGAAAAATTAGCATATTTTCGCAAAATTCGCATATTTCAAACGAAAACCGTTCCATGGTAAATCTAAATTGATAGTAACGACAAAAAAATGCAAAACGGCCAAATTTCCAAAGCCAAAGTTCAAAAAATCAAATTTTTACGAAATTTCGGTTTTCGGGTTTTCTAAAATTCGCATATTCTCTAAAAATTTTGTTATTTGAAACGAAAACCGTCCCATAGCGAATCGAAAAATCATGGAAAACATTCAAAACTGTAAAAAACCTCCCATTTCCACGACAAAAATAGAAAATAGCATTTTTCGAATTTTCGGATTTTTCCATTCTCCAAATTAGCATATCTTGGCAAATTTGCATATTCAATCGAAATTACTTTTTATCGTTTACCAGGGTTGAAAAGCCGCTTCGCGACTTTTCAACCCTGGCCCCGTCTCGGACCCATACCATCCTGCCCTTTGCATACTTGTCCTTCATTCAGAAGACAAAAAGAATGAAAAACAACCCTTTCTGCCTCTTTATATAGACGACTGCCCACTTCCGGTCAATGCTAATTATCCCTAACAAAGAGGTTTTTACAAAAACCTAAATTTAATAGCGAAAATGGCTAATTATTAAAAATCTGATATGTGTGCGGTCATCCCTAGACCATTACGCACCTAATGACGTATCATACGCAGCTTAATACCCTTCCCTCCTTGAGATATCCTCCGGACAGACAGACGGAAGTGGATGCAAAGTCGCACACACACACACAGACACTATTTTTTTATATATAGTAGGATTCTGGCTGCCAATTAAGCTGATGAACCATGAAAGCGCATTAAAAATGCAGATTTTGCTATTTTCCGAATGTTATTTTGGCGATTTCGATGTGAAAAACAAGACCTAATCCTTCTAATTTTTCATTTTCAATTTTTAAATGATGCTAATAGCTTCACTATCCGTCAGTTAACGCTAAAACGTGGCCAGCTCGAGGCCAAACCGCTTGAAAAAGGCAAAAACCGGGGGATAATCCCCCAATCACCGGTAACAATAGCCGGGCGGTTGACAGTCGGTGGGCGAAGGGCTCTATTTCTTGCCCCAGGCTACGTATCGCTTCGATGAGTATTCTATTGTATCCTATGGCAGTCAGGTTAGCCTTTCAAATATGCAAAGCAACAATTAAACTTCAAAAATCGAAAAATTAAACGTAATTTTTCAAAAATTAAGATTTTCACTTTTCACTTGATTTTCTATGTTTTCAAAATTTCAAATTTAAGACCGATTCAAACTATCTTCATGTCAGATGAGACATTTAAGGAACAGGCAGTTAGATTTGAATTTAACATTTAATAAATAATCAATGTCAATAATTCACTATTTTCAGCCAAATTTCCATTATTTTGAAGCAATAAAATCTACCCTTTCTAAAGTTTCCCAGTCAATCAGAATCAGGAATCAAGTAAAAAAGAAAATTTAACCTCTAAATTAATTGTTAAGCTTTAAAAATTGAAAATTCAAATCTAAAAAATCGGTGCTTTTCAAATAGGCGGGGGGGGAAGATTTAGGCGGGGGGGAAACCGAACTTTTTGCCGCCCAAGCCTATATTTTTTATATAAATAGTGGAAGTGTTTCTAAATTATTTGTAGCTATTCCTAAGCATAAAACTTTACAAAATTTAATTAAAAAATTTAATTTTAGGTCGAAAAATCAATTTTTTCAACCGAAAAATGCCAAAATTTTTGACTTTTTCAAGCGTTTTTCTAACTTTTAAAAAAGTTTTTCCTTGTAAAATAGGCTTAAATTTTGCTAAAAAACAATGTTAAAACACTTTATATTTGATTACTATACCCACCAGGGCCAACAGAAAAAAGTGGGTTCCCCCCCGCCTAAATCTTTCCCCCGCCTATTTGAAAAGCACCAAAAAAAAAATCGATATTTAAAAAAAATATACAAAATATACCTGTAATTTTGCAGCGTTGCCCAGTGGTACATCTCGATGCTACAGAAGATGATCGACGAGGGGACCGCGGAAAATGTAGAAGATGTCCACGAATACAGGACATCACTGAATAGAAGAGAAGAAGACGAGGAGGGAGAGGGAGAGGGACAGGGAGGAGGCGAGAGAATCAGAGAGACGGCTGACGGCACACATTCACACGGAATATTCTCACAAAATAACATCCATTTCGCCCATTATAACAATCCGCCATTCCATATTCCCCTTGATCAGCCCGTTTTTCATTATCGATAAATAATTGTCTATTGTCGAAAGCGGTGAGCCCCTCACCCTCCCTGGAGTGTAAATACACCAAGGGAAATAAATCCCACAGGGAAGGCTCGGTTGCCACCTCGCCGCTTCGGCCGTAGTTTGCACTACCAAAGGAATAGCTAGCGTTCGGTGTTCAGATGGCAGTGTATAATGCGCTTGCTAAAAGACCTGCAAGGGTTAAAGAGGACAAGTTTATTAGAGAACAGTACAGAATATATGTCGCACAGTCAAAGGGCAACTGAGAGTAATACAATGTCGATGGCAAGGCGGAACGAATTCCGAGAGTGGTGTCGAACGGTTGCAATGCACCAGAGATTTACTGTGCCCCGGTTGGTGGTAAACCACTTCCCCGGCTCACAGCACTCTCACCAAACCATGCCGAAGCACAGAGTGGCCGCAACGCCCTTTCGGGACAGCGGGGGACTGCAAGTGCAATAATCCCAGAGAGGCCGGGAGGGCGCTAGCACAGCCCGCTACGGTAGCGATCATCGCGGTGGGACCTTTGGAAGTTTGCCAACCTTTGGCGCCCATACAAAAATCCTCGAAACTCCTTGGGAATGAAATTCCCTAGGAAAGTTTCGACACTCCCGGCCCGCGCTGAGCCGAAAGTGCCGCCCCGGAGAGCGTGGCTAGTGTAGTAGGAGGTTGAGTGGGAGCCTCGCGGCGGCCCAAATTTGAGAAAACGACCGCCCGGCCAGGGGGAAATGTTGGGGAACAGAGGGACCAATAACAAACGGATATAATTCGTACTGGGGGAACGGGAGGCCGAAAAATGAATATGTTAGACTAGGGGTGGGGCATCTGACAATAAAAAGGGAGTTGGTCGGCGCTAAAGAGCCCGTACTCTTGCCGAACCAACTAAAGAGAAAGGGGGACTTATCGGATTTTTTGGTTGCAGCTTGACTTGTTGGTAGGTGGCGGTGTAGTTGTCCCAGTGACGACAGCTTGCACGCTTGATGGCGATGACGAGCTTGCGTAGAGAGACGAGCTTGCAGTGCAGAGTAGAGCTTGAGGCTGGCCAAAGGTTCCGGGGGACCAAGTGTCGAGGGTGGCAAAAAAGCCAGTGTCGCGGCGTGAAAGCAGGAGGATCCTCTCACGAAACCTCCTACTACACAGACGGTGTCGCACGCCGAAAAGGGGCGGTGTCGAAAAAATAGACGGCGTCGCAGTGGTGGATGATGCCATACTTGACCATGTTGACGCACATTGACGTGAAACGACAGGTGGAAGAACAGCTTGGCGGCAAAGAGTCGCGTCTTTCGAGGCGAAGCGGTCGTCGAGAGTTAGAGGCCGTTGCAGCAGAAATCTCGCGGCTCATTGAAGAAGTAGGGCGCACGCGTTTGTCGACGGTTGCCGACCTTGTCATAGTCCAGTGGCGCACATCGTAGAGAACGAGGCCGCTGAACACGGTGGTGAACGGGCAGAACAGCATGTTGTCGCATTGAAGGCATCTGAAATGGTCGTTGCTCGCGGCGGCCCAACTTGAGGAAGTTTGACGCCGCTCCTTGTGGTGGTGGATGAGGCTTGTTGAACTCTTCACGTTGTCGCACCGCAAGCACATCACGAAGGATGTCTATCTTTCGATACATTGCCCAAAAGCAGCGAACGAGGTGTCGGATATCAAACTATTGCACAGGTGCAAATAGTTCGAAAGTGTCGAGGGTGGTGTCGCAAATCTTCTCCAACGATGTGTGCAAATCCATGGACGTAGGCGTCGGTGGAATAGCACAGCGATGTCGAAAACTTGCGGGCGCCGAGGGGGTGCAGAAAACAGCACGGCTCCTTGGCGGTTGATGTTGTCTTGTTGCAGCTCGATGAAGGAGTAGAGCAGGACTTGATGCTTGTCGCAGTTGTTGGTGGGCACTGGCAGGCTTGAAGAGGGCGCCGGTGAGCGGCGGGTCGACCCGGCCTTGCAGTGGCTGCTGGACGGGTGGCGAACAGGCAGTGGCGGGCAGGCATCGAGCAGCAAGTGTCTTTGAAGAAGCATGTGTCGCCAGCAACCCGATGTCGAAAGACTTTACAAAATAGAGATAAACTCTAGATTGTACTACAAAATGTCGCGAGAAATGAAAAGCCAAAGTTCCAATTAAAACTTTGAGAAAACAAGACGAAATATGAAAAAGCGTAGCTCACTCGAAAATTAGTTCGCGGTCTAGACCTTAGAACGTTTTTCGAGTTAACAAACGAAATTTCAAAATTTCGAATCATTTCGGCCAACTATAACGACGAATCGTAAGAAGGCGCTCTCAAAATCTCAAAAAGAACCTTACTTTTGCAAATCCACAATCGATCCGCAGAAGTGGAGAGCGTTGAAACATTGGCATGCCGTTGTGGAAACGCTGGAGCTTCGTCGACAGCTATCCATTCCCGACATTGCGCGACGTTGAGAACTTGATCAGCAGTGACTCGGTCGAACTTCTTTCTTCAGCAGCATTTCTTCTCCAAACCGGCGAATGTCGAGCGGCAAGTTGCGAGTGTCGAAAGGCAGGTTGGCCGAGGCCGGTGTCGTAAAGCAGGGTGGCCGAAGCCGGTGTCGGGTTGGAAAACTAAGGAAATAGATTTCCAAAGTAATCCAGGGTGTCGCGGAAAATGAAAAACGAGTGTCGAAAGAACGCGAGAGCGAAATAATGTCGAATTGGAGCAACGGCGAAATGACAATCGCGAAGATGGGATGAAAATTTTCACAAATTGACTGGCAAAATGATTTCTTTCCTTGCGCAGCAGCCCAGCTGAATACGGTAGTCGATCCATCCAATAGCGAAGTCAATCCTTGAGCAGTTGGGCGCCGATTGTCGCTTCTTCTTGCTTCCATTGCGCGTTGAAGGCGTTCTTGACACATTGCGCAGCACGTGATGTCGTTGAAAACGTTGCGACGGCGATGAAGTGGTGCAGAAACTTGAGGCGAATGAACTGAAAGTAGAATCGCCTTGAAGAGGAATAAAAATACACATCCATCGCGTGTCGAGCGTCTTGTGCACGTGTTTCTTGTCGCGATTGGGGCCCGATCGATGAGAAAAGGGCAGCATACACCAGGAAGTTGTAGTTGAACCATTGGCAAAGTGTAGGCGTATGTGCAGCAGATGTTGGCCAGCATTTCCGCGAGCACGAGCAGCTTTCTCAAGGCTGTCGGAGCGAAAAATACCTCGAAATAGCAGTGTCGGAGCATGTAAAGCAGGGTGTCGCGCAGCAAACCAGGGCAGGACGAGCTTGATAACCATTTTGAAGGCGATCTTGATGGACTTGAATGTAGTTGAACGCTTCTTGACCCATTTTGGCACGCTGCGAGTGTTGGAGGCTGCTTGCACGCTTGAGGCCGCATCTCCCTTGGGTGTCGCGGGCACGGGTGTCGCTTGGCTGGCGAAGAGTGTCGTAAGGCAAGGGTAGGTGGAGATGCCCGTCGCCGGAACACGCAGCAAACCACTGGCTTGTGCACCATCGCACACCTTCACGAAAACACGCAGCCATCCTGCAAAAAACAAAATACTAAACCAAATCACCTTTTTTTTCTGTAACCAGAAACCATTTTCCTCGCACTTCTCCACTTCTGGACGACAATCGACCTTCCACCATTCCTTGACAGTCGATCCCACACGCGTCGTTGCCTGCTCCGGCGTCTCGCTCGGGGGCTTCGCATCCGTGGGCTCGAGTTGTCGCGTCCTGGCTTCTCAGAAGAGTTGGGCGAGAGGCCGCAACCTTCTCATGGGCACTCAGTGAACCCATGGCAATCCACGCAGTGTTCAACACGCTACAGCAAGAAGGAAAGTTGCCCGTGGCCACGAGCTTGAATGTCGGTGTCCTTCCATTTTGAAGAGACCGCTGGCCGGCAGTTTGTCGAGGAAAACGATGTCTCGGCGGCACACATCTGCGATGTCTATTTCTTCGTTACGAGCAGGCTAAAAGCAAGTATAGTGGACCCGGTGATCACGCGGACCGACAGCACCATGTCGAAAGCGGTGAGCCCCTCACCCTCCCTGGAGTGTAAATACACCAAGGGAAATAAATCCCACAGGGAAGGCTCGGTTGCCACCTCGCCGCTTCGGCCGTAGTTTGCACTACCAAAGGAATAGCTAGCGTTCGGTGTTCAGATGGCAGTGTATAATGCGCTTGCTAAAAGACCTGCAAGGGTTAAAGAGGACAAGTTTATTAGAGAACAGTACAGAATATATGTCGCACAGTCAAAGGGCAACTGAGAGTAATACAATGTCGATGGCAAGGCGGAACGAATTCCGAGAGTGGTGTCGAACGGTTGCAATGCACCAGAGATTTACTGTGCCCCGGTTGGTGGTAAACCACTTCCCCGGCTCACAGCACTCTCACCAAACCATGCCGAAGCACAGAGTGGCCGCAACGCCCTTTCGGGACAGCGGGGGACTGCAAGTGCAATAATCCCAGAGAGGCCGGGAGGGCGCTAGCACAGCCCGCTACGGTAGCGATCATCGCGGTGGGACCTTTGGAAGTTTGCCAACCTTTGGCGCCCATACAAAAATCCTCGAAACTCCTTGGGAATGAAATTCCCTAGGAAAGTTTCGACATCTATAAATAAATATTAATAATAACAATAAAAAATAATAAAAATCATAAAATAAATTAAATAGATTATTTGACCGATTCGACCTAAAATTAAATAGATAATTAAATAGATTTTAACAACAAAAATGACAAAATTTAATAAAACTACAAGCAAATGGTGCTTGTGCATTATCGGGGGGGGGCTAATTTTTTCTACAAGCCAAAAATGCCTAGTAACGTAATAGAAGGTAAGTAATGTATTAGTATTTTTTGCAAAATTTAGCCATATTTGAATTGAAAACCTTACATTTTCAATATTTACACTAAATCTTTAAATCTCGCCCGGTATAACAGCAAAAATGGCAAAATTTAACAATGAAGGAAAAACTGTTAAACCACGAAAAGTAGCAATTTTTAAGGCGATTAGCCATTTGAACGCAAAAAATCTAAATTCCACCAAAAATAGCCTGCAAAATTAGCTCCCTCTATCTCGACACTAACAAACAATAATGCTAGCCGATATTACGTTTATAAAAATTCACAAAACTAAAAAAATTAGAATAATGTGGGAAAAATTTGAAAATTTCGTCACTTTTGGTCGAAAAATTTTTGGTTCTAAAATTAAATTTTTCATTAAAATGCGTAAAGTTTTGATGCTCGGGACAACTGGAAAAACAATCTACAAGCGCATCCGCTATTTATAAAAAAAATCTGGGCTTCCTTTCTCGCCGCGAATCATAAAGAACCTTGTGCCACCTCAAGTTTGACTATTTTCATCGTACAGCTTCTGCCTTTTACTAATCAAAAATGTTCTGCCCCGAGAACTCGTTCAAAAAGCAAACGCATACCTAGAGCGAAGGTTCGAACTCGGGCAAAAAGTCTAACAAATTGTCAGGCAACAACACTACCAATAGGGTAGCGCACCACGGAAACGGTGGGTTGGCGGCAGGCTATGAACGGCGCGTGGATGAGCCACCGAAAACTATTATGATTAAATTAATAGATTAATAAAGAAAGGAAATTCGAAATCGGCACGAAAAACTAGCCTGGAAAACTTGTGTTTCTAAGCAATTCGCTTAACGCTCGATTCACGTTCAATTCAGATTTTTTTTTGTGCTGATTCCGAAGTTTTTCAAATTTGCTGCCGACTTTTCCTGAACAACCTGCTCCGCAATCATGTTAAAAATTGTCGTCAAAATCAAGCTTTCTGGTCCAAATTTCATTTTTTTGACGATTTTCGTCTTTGACTTTGTGAAGCGAATTCGGCAGCAAAATTTTTGAGAACGAGTTGGGAATCAGCGAAAAATTCAGAACAAGGTGCACGTGGTCCCGAAACGTAACGCCGAGTTAGGCAAAAACACTTTCCAGTCACCCCCCGGAAACGATGTGCACCGAGAAAAACGCCTCGAAAAAGGTTCGGAATCTGCGAACTCTAAATTAAATTTTCTAAGACATCGTAACCGCTTAAAACTTTCTGAAAACGATTCCTCTATCGAACTAGCTAGACCCCGTCAAGAAAATCGAAAGGCACCTGAAAGCGTAGTGTAGCGCAAAATATGTGGTAAATATACTACGCGCAAAATGCACGATACAAAACACGTTTTTGATGCAAAATGCACAATACAAAGCAAGGCGTGCTGCAAGACTCAAAGTTATGTCGCAAACAGTCTTTAAATTCCTACAAAAAAAATACTAACAAAATTCACTGGCCCTAAATCGACGCCAGCAAACAGTAAGATTAGATGCTCGGAAATCCTACTTTTCTACAAGCGTATCAAAACTAGATAAAACAAAGGAATATTTCAAAACTGCTAACAAATTTAGTAAAATCGTCGATAGAAATCAAATCCGCCAAGCTGCCGTACCATCAAATTCCATATTTTGTAAACTATTGTTATAGAAACTAGGCCAAAAACTCGGCTAATACAAAAGTTAAATTCAACCAATTCTGGGTGTGTTACAATTTATACAGTACAGTACATTACATAGGCAGATATATCGGATCGACTGGTCAGCGGGGAGAAAAACAATTCGGGGAAATTCGAAACTTGT